TCAGGGCTGCGCTCAGTCCAAAGGCTGTAGGGGAGGATCCCGCCTTGCTTTGTTCAGCTGCTGGAGCAGCCGGGGCTCCTTGGCTTATGGCTGTGTCCCTCCAGCCTCAGCACAGTCACACTGTCTCGTTGCCTCCTCTGTTCTGAAGCTCCCTCTCCTTTCTCTTATGAGGACACCAGTGTTAGGATTTAGGGCCCACCCTCGTGCAGCGTGACCTCATCTTAGCTGCAGGGACCCTGTTTTCACACAGGATCACATTCTGAGGTTCCAGACGGACATAAGTTTGGGGGAATGCTATTCTATCCAGTCCACTTGCCGATAACATAAGGATCGTGGGCTGTGGGAGGCCGGCAGTATGGCAGTGGTTTGCAAGAGAGTGGGTGCTCTGCAGCCAAGACTGCCTGAGTTTGAGTTCCGTAGTGCCACTGACCAGCCGTGCAGCCTGGCGTGAGTCTACCAGCCTTTGTATACCTCGGGTTGCTTTGGTTCTACAATGGGGACAACAGGAATCCCATTTCGGAAGGCATTCCCAGGATAAAAGGAGCTAAGTACAGCGTAGATTATATTCTTCTAGAAGGAGACTCTGATGTGACGATTCCTGTGCCGGTGATTTATGAAGGGAGCACCCCCAGAGGAGACCATTGGGGAGTCGAGGAAGTAGGAAGGGAAGTGGGGGGAAGCATGCAGCAAGGGTGGGACTCGGGCAGAGCCTGTGGAGGGCTGTGAGCTCTGGAGTGTGACACTCACCTTCCTGCCCTTCGAGCCCGCCGGTTTAGTGGCCCCCGGTGCCTGGTCAGTGGCACAGGCACATTGAAAAGGAGTGCGGGCGGACACAGGGACCCGAGGGCGTCGGCGCACCAGCATTGTCCGCCCCACAAGCACTCAGTCCCGTCACTGCCCGTGGCAGGTGCTCAGTAAATGTTCGCTCTCCTTGTCATGCTCATCCCATTGGGAAGGCACTGTTCTGGTTCTGACGGGGTGAAGAGCACATTGGTCTGGTGTCAGGACACCTGCATTGCAGCTCCCACATGGCTACTGACGAGCAGTGAGGTTTGGGGCAAGTGGCTCTCAGTCTTCTTGGGACGTTTTTGTCTTCAGCTATCAAGGGGTGCAGACAGTATGGGCATGTGGGTGGTGGTTGTTTGGTCTTAAAAAAAACAAAACCTAATGCATGTATTGATATTGTGAAAGACTGTAACAAAACTCAAAAGAAATACATGAGAATTCCCTCTGCCTCATTCTCAGGGCACTTGGCAGAGGTAAAACCATTCCTTTTTATGCATCTGCATACAGAGTCCATGCCTGTTTTTTTTTTTTTTTTTTAATGAGCCAAAGCTGCTACCCAGACATTGCAGGGAAACATGTATTTAGTTTTTCAAATTAAAGGGATTGTGCCATATGGATTGTCACTTGCCTTTTTTTTTTTTTTTACAAATTAAAATTATGTGTTCTTTGGGTTGCCTTTTTTAAAAAATTGAGGTGAAATTCACATAACATAAGAGGAACAATTTTAAAATATACAGTTCAGCATTTAGTACATAATTTACTCACAGCATTTAGGCAACCATCACCTCTGTTTGGTTCCAGTACATTTTCAGTGCCCCCGAAGGAGACCCCGCACCCATCAGTGGTCAGTCCCCAGTCCACCCACCTGTCTGTTCCCCCAGCCTCCGGCAGCCACGAGGCTGCTCTCTGTCTGTATTCTGGACATGTCCTGTAAATGGAATCATACACTGTGTGGCCTTTTATGTCTGGCTTCTCTCACTTAGCTTCGTGTTTTCAAGGTTAATTACATTGTAGCAGGGGTCAGTCATGCCTCTGTATGGGTGGTTAATATTCCATCGTGTAGATAGACCACAACTGGTTTATCCGTTCAGCCACTGATGGACATTCAGGCTCTTTCCACCTTTGGGCCATTATGAATACTACTGCTGTGACTTTGTCACTTGCCTTTTTGATTTACCCATTGTATCTCAGCCTTTTGGCCGGTTATCTGTGGTGTGGAAGGAAGGTCCTGTGTGTTTAACCATTTCTTTGCTCCTGTGACCAACTTTGGACTTGTTTTCTTCCTGCACTTGCTCAAATGCACCTTTAAGTCTAGATCCAAGAATCCTAAATTGCTAGGTGGCTACATTTGTTCAGCCCTCTTCCAGCTTTTAACAAGGTCTGTGGATCTGTTAAAAACATAACCACCTTCTTTTAACTTCTCCAGGCACTTTTGTAATGACTCTTGGACTTTATCTGAGCCGCAACCTTTGGAACAAGGAGGACTAACATTTCCATTTTGTGGATAAAATGGCAGCTAACACTGAGGCCTGTTGTGAGCACTTCACATAGATTAACCCCTCTAACCTCACAAGAGCCCTCCCCCTGCCCCAGGTAGGGGCTGCCCATGATCCCACCTTCCAAGTGAGAAAATGGGCCCAAAGTCAACGGTAGACAAACGGCAAAGCAGGGAATGAGTCCAGGAAATCTGGCTTCAGACCCCAAGCTCTTAACCACTTTATTCTCCAGCCTCGGGTTAAAGCCGGGGTGCCCCGAGGGTGAACAAGGTAGCTGGGTTACGGATCCAGGTTTCTTTTCTCCAGATCCACACTCCCCTATCCCCCACCCCATTTCTCCAGGAGCGGAATCTGTGCCCCCAACCTGCCACCACCAAGGATTAAATGAACTCAGCCCTTGATGCCCTGGCCCAGAGCCTGTAGTAGGACAGGTGCTCAGAGAGCAAACAGCAAATGTGTTTGTGGCTTTTTCAGATTCTGCTGCCACCTGATTCCAGCCCCAGCATGCATGCACACATACATGTACACACGCGTGCACGCGCACACGCTGTGTCTGAGAAATGCCCTTCCGGGAGACGTCAGTGGTGTGCTCTTGTCCCACCGGCAGAGCCCAGGCCCTGCCTTGCAGCAGTGGCTGAGGGATGTTAGCAGGGGCACGCGCCCAGTGCCCAGGACCTCCAGGGGGCCTTGGGACACCCCACGAGGGGTACGGCGAGGGGGGCCTGCAGCCTCTAGGCTGACGCCGCACTGAAGGAGGAGGAGAGCCTGAGAAGTCACCGACTTTGTGAGCTCCAAGTGGGGCTCGTGGCTTGTTCTTCATGCTGTATTCCTCTGCACGCTAGTACCCCGCTTTCTCTCTGTCTTCTGCTATTAATGGGCATTTCAGTTGTTTCCAGTCTGGGGCTATTACGAATAAAGCTCCCGTGAACGTTTTTGTATGTGTCTTGTGCCGTAGAGATTGTCACTTTCCTTCTTCACTGACCAGTGTGTCTCAGTGTTAATTAGCCTCCTAGTGTCTGGTTGTGCAGCCGTTTATGGAGCCGCCCTCCTCCTGTTGGGCGTATACCCGGGAGGCGGCTGCTGGTGCGTACAGCATGTGCCTCCGCTTTGGTCGGTAACGCCCGTGTTCCAAAGCCGCTCCGAGCAACGATGCTCGCGCGTTCCTGCGGCCCTACCTTCTCCCCAGCACTCAGCACTCAGGACTTTCCATTCTAGCCGTTCTGTCGGGATGCCTGCCCCTTCTTTCCATCCCTGCTTCCCCTCCCCACCCCAGCCCGGCCTGGCATCTCTGCATCTCTCAGCCGCATCGCTTAGGACACCCCGGCAGGTCAAGGAGGAGGCTGGGTGCTGGTCTCGGTCCCAGGCCCGCCCGTAAAGAAAGGATTCTGCTTCGTCGGCTTGTGTGATTTCCTCCTGCCCTTTGTATGCACAGCCTTGTTGGAGAGGTAGGAAGGTAGAAAATGTGCAGATGGACACGTGTAAGTCTCAGAGAGGTTAACGTTGCTTCAAAAGCCAGAAGTTATATGCTGTGTTGGAAGCTAGACGTTCCAGCTCATCTTTCTCTTACTCTCTGGAGCCTCCCGGTCATTTGGCCATCAGCGTCCTTGTTATAATTCCTTTCCCTCCGGCCTGTCTCATTTGCATAGTGCACACCTGCCCTCTGACAACCTTTCTTCTCTGGCTCCCCCTCCCTGGTCTCCCTGGCCTGACCCTCCTCCTGCTTCCTACAGGCCCTACAAAACCCTGAGGCTCTTATTGCCCCTTCAGGTGAAAATCCAACCTCCTTCCTGGCCATTGAGGCCCCACGTGGTCTAGGCTTGCTTGCAGCTCAAGCTCCCGCTGCCCCTTGCCCACTGTGCTTTGGCCACTAGCTTTGGTCACCAGTGTTGCCCTTCAGCTCTCCCGACTCGCAGTGTCTTCCCCCAGGGTCTTTGCACCTGCTGGTGCTTGCCTGCAATGCTTGTCCTCGTCATCTGCCCGCCCTTTGGTCCTTCAGGTCTCAGCGTAAATGGCTCTTATAAGAGGGCTTTCTGCTCCCACCGTCTACAGTGGGTCCCCTCGAGATGCTCTACAGGCCCCATTACATCTGCCATGTCACTTATCATGGTCTGTAATGACACCATCTCTGTCTGATGTCTGTGAGTCAGTCAGAGCACAAATGTGTTTCATTTATTGACCATCACGATCCTAGTGATTCTAGGTCAGTGTCAGGTACACAGCAGACACTCCATAAACGCTGCGTGTGTGTGTGTGTGTGTGTGTGTGTGTGTGTGTGTGCAAAAAGATGGGAGGGTGCTCCAAGCAGGTGGGCCCGTCAGAGAAAGTATGGACCGGAGTCTGCCCCATGGTGACACTTTCTGGTGACCTTAGCAGAGCCTCTGAGTCTTGTCCTGCAGTGGGAAGGCAGTGTGGCATCATGGAAAGGACATGGGACGTGAGAGTCTGAAAACTGGGGTTGGAGTCCCGGCTCTGCCAGCACTTGGCTGTATGTCTTTGAACAAGTCTGTCTCTGGGCCTCAGTTTTCTGGTTCTATAAGATGGGACAGATGTTAAAAACCAACAGTAATGGGCGCCTGGGTGGCTCAGTTGGTTAAGCGACTGCCTTCGGCTCAGGTCATGATCCTGGAGTCCCGGGATCGAGTCCCACATCGGGCTCCCTGCTCGGCGGGGAGTCTGCTTCTCCCTCTGACCCTCTCCCCTCTCATGCTCTCTCTCTCTCTCATTCTCTCTCTCAAATAAATAAATAAATAAATCTTTAAAAAAATACATTAAAAACCAACAGTAATAACACCCATTCCCAGTGGCTGGAAACAACACTAAAATAGGGGCAGGGATGTAAAGCAGTTTGTCCTTCATGGGCTTAGTGGGAGTGAGTTGTGCTTTGGGAACGTGCATGTCTGGGGGGACTGACTCCCCCGGGCTATTCCATCAGCCCGGAGCGTCTCCCACGCGGAACCCTAGCATACAGACGGTTGGGGCAGGATGGCCGCCCTCTGGGACATCCGCGTTTGTGCCTGTCACATAAAATCTCAAAATCTTCAAGGGCAGGACCCACGTCTTAGCTGGGTTTGTGGCCCCGGCAGCATCACACACCTTTCTGGACACCACAGATGCTCGTTCTTCATGGTGATTACCTGCTTGGGAATATCCAGGGCAGGGGAGGGGAAAGATTCAGATGGGATGGAGCAGCTTGGACGAGGGAGTCGTGTCAGGGGAATAGTGGAGGAGTCACACACAGAAGAAACGACTCTTCTCAGATGCCTGGAACATCAGCCCCATGCCCCCTGAACACAGGAGAACCAAGTTAGCCTGCGGTTGAGCCTGACCACCACTGCTCCTGGGAAGCAAGGATTAGCTGTCTGCCCCGGTGCCTGGAGGAGGCCAAATAATGGTCCCCCAAAATATCAGGCCCTAATCCCTGAAACCTGCGGATGTTACTTTATACGGTAAAATCTTTACAGATGTGATTTCGTTTCAGATCTTGAGATGGGGAGGTTATCCTGAATTATTCAGGTCCTAAATGCAATCGAAGTGTCTTTACAAGAGGGGGGCACAGAGAGGTCTCACACACAGAAGAGGAGGAGGCCGTGGGACCACGGAGGCAAGGACTGGAGTGATGAGGCCACAAGCCAAGGAACGCTGGCAGCCACCAGAAGCTGGAAAAAGAAAGGACCCGTTCTCCCCTGAAACCTCCGGAGCGAGCACAGTTCCGGCAACATCTTGACTTTGGACTGATTTTCAACTTCTGGCTTCCAGAACTATGAGAAAAAAAATTTCTGATGTGTTAAGCTATCAGATTTGGTTGGTCATTTGTTACATCAGCCACATGAAACCAGCACAGTTCATTAACTCACCAGACCACTTAGCGAGCACCTACTGTGCGCCAGGCACTGTGCTAGCTGAGGCAGTCCACAGTGACTAGGTCAGTCAAGGCCCTGCCTCCTGGGGCCGACAGTATACTTGGGCGCCAGGGGCAGGAGGAACAGAGGACGAACGAGTAACAGACACCCCTCCTTGGCTATGTGCCAGGCATCATCTTCCACATGCTTCCTGTGTATTCACTAAATTAATCCTCACAGCAGCCGTCTGGGGTAGGGTACTGCTATGCCCGTCTTGTAGATATGGAAACTGAGGCAGAGAGGCTAGTCCGAAGCCACGTAGACCACAAATGGGAGAGCCCAGTGTGTACGCTCAGAACCTCTGCTCTGAATCATCTTTTGTCAGATGATAAGACCTATGAGACGGTAGTTGTAACATGTGCAGTGAAGGCAGTAGACAGGATGGGAAGTTCATTTAGGGGGGCAGGGAAGGAAAGGGCCTCTGTGGGGAGGGGACGGTTGAGCTGAGGCCTGAACGAGGGGAGCCAGCTCAGGGGACATTGAAAGGAAGGAAAGTGCCGGCCCAGCGTCCTGAGGTGGGGATGAGCTCGGAGGGACCCAGGGACAGGAAGCAGGTGCTGGCTCCAGGGAACAGGGCACGGAGAAGGCTCGGGGCCAGCGGCGTCTCGGTAGGAAGCTGTGGTTGGGTTAAGCCGGGGAGGCGGAGGGGGAGGCTCACCTGCTGGTCTCGCTCGCCCCACCCCAGGCATGTCAGAGCGTGAGCGGCAAGTGATGAAGAAGCTGAAGGAGGTGGTGGACAAGCAACGCGACGAGATCCGCGCCAAGGACAGGGAGCTCGGTCTGAAGAATGAGGATGTGGAGGCTGTAAGTGATGAGCCCCTACCCCGTGTCCACCCTCCCAGCCGGCAGATACAATGGGAGACTGGATCCTCCCTGTAGGCGGTTCCCCTTTTCTCCCTTGGGCTCACGCTGTGGGCTCTGTGGGGCGGGGGTCCTGCCTGAGGCCGCAGCTGTGGGGAGGACCCTCAGCCGGTCCGCATCGTAACAGCAGGAGGGAACGTGGCACTGCCTGGTGACCTGCTGCTCCCGTGCCTTGGGGAGCTGCCGAGGCCCAGCCTGGCTTTGTTCTGACCCCAAGGCTTCCTCCAACCCACCCTCTTCGTGCCCCTCTGTGAGCAGGCCAGCATGGTCCAGGCTGCTCCAGGAACCCATACAGTGTCTCCACCTGAATTAGAAAGACACCCCTTTCTCAAGGCATGTTACTTCCATCTGTTGGGAAATCATCATGATATACTGACAAAACACTCATCTTCCATCTCTCATAAAATTATCATAGTAAATATACAAATTGCCCATCTCTGGCATCAACAGTTGTAAGAATATGAACAAACTTCAAACGAGTCAGGATGTCTCCAATATGATGGCACGCCTGTAGAGGATTTGCCCTTGTGCAGTACACAACATGAGCTACTGTATGAGCAGCCCCATAAATGGCCTTCCTCTTTCTCCAGCTGCAACAGCAGCAGACCCGGTTGATGAAGATCAACCACGACCTCCGGCACCGTGTCACAGTGGTGGAGGCCCAGGGGAAGGCCCTGATCGAACAGAAGGTAGAACTAGAGGCAGATCTGCAAACCAAGGAACAGGAGATGGGCAGCCTACGGGCAGAGCTCGGGAAGCTGCGAGAGAGGCTGCAGGGCGAACTCAGCCAGAACGGAGAGGAGGAGCCTGAGGTAAGTGGGAAGCCAGCCACTGAAGCAGATGGGAAGGTAGGTCTGTGAGCTGGCTCGAGGTGGGCAAGGCTGCCTTGCTTTCCCCATTACACTTGAGGGAAGTGGGAGGAACCTGGGAGGAGCCATGGTGTGTAGCTAACTGTGTGGATTCTAGAGCTGGTCTGCTTCAGTTCAGTCTAACCTGTTAACTACCTCCATGACCTTGGATAATTTATTTAGCCTTTCTGTGGCCCAGTTTCTTCGAGTCTAAAATGGGAATAATAATAGTACTTAGTGCCAGATTATTACGAGAATTAAATGAGTTACTTCATTTAAAGTGTCAACTGCCACAATAATCTGGAGGAGTCAAAAAAGCTTTTCGAAGGAAGTGACTAAAAGAATGAGAGTAAACAAGTGAATGGAGAGTGAGTTCCAGGCAGGGGAGTGGCACATGCAAAGGCCCTGTGGCAGGAGAAATTGCAATGGAATCGAGAAAGGATAAGGAGGCGAGGGTGGCTGGTATGCAGGGGAAGGAGAAGGAGGAAGGTCTGAGTGAGGTCAGAGAGATAGGTAGGGGCCAGTCCTGCGGGCCAGGTAGGCCACAGAGTGGAGTTTGGTCTTCTACCTGAGAGCACTGTGCTGAGTACTGTGGAGCTTCAAAGAGCTTACAACCCAGTGCAGGAGACAGACTTGGGTGCCTCCAAGTGGCGTCACACTTAAGGTGGGAGGGAACTGTCTTAGTGGTAAGAGATTGTCTTCGTCTGGGTTCCCTCGAAGCAGAGCTTGAGAAAAGGAAAATGGGCAGGAGATCAGAGGCATGAGACAGGGGAGAAGGAAAAGTGAATTTGAGTGTGTGTTATTGGGGCTGCGGTGGAAGCTCAGTCCTGCTGGGACCTCTGAGAAGCACAGAGACCATGTCCCAGAACAGTCTTTCTGGAGGAGAAAGGCTTGGAACATAAATTTATCCGCCTGCACCTGCCCCCAGTAGCTGAGGGTAGCCCCCAGGGGTGTCATCTCCCTGATATTCCTGGGCAGAACTTACAGAGCAGATCTCAGGGCACGAGTGGGAAGACATGCAGTGTGTGCTTGAGGCGGGGCCCCATCTGCATGGGTGGGACTACACCACAGCTGCAGCGAAAATCCACATGGGCCCAGGGCTGCGACATGAGGTGCCAGAGGTGTCTCCCCTGTAGATGTGCCCCCCCGGGGGTGGGTGGGTGTCAGCAACGCAGAAGTAGGACAGTTACTCATGATGGGGGTGGTGTGCAGTTTCATGGAAGAGCTGTCCCTTCAGCTGGATGTCAGTGTTCACAATGCTAAGATTTTGAGAGGTAGATGGATGATGGATATGCTGCTTCAGAAAAGCATAGTGGACTCTTAGGGAAAAGCTCGGGGCTTACTCTTTCTTCCAGCAAATACTTACTGACTGTTTCTTGTTTGCAGGCACTGTGCTAGTTTCCGGGGTTACAGGTCAGGGAGGTAAGACAGATGAGCTCACCACCATCAGGTTGGCCCAAGTGCCAGCACAGTCAGTAGGTGTCTTTCAGGCCAGACGCTTCTAGGTTCTCTGAAGGACAGGAACCTGGGATACAGTTAGGGAGGTAAGGGAATGAAGTCTTAAAAGGGAGAGATTAGGGCTAGTTTTTGGCCAAAAGTGACAGAAGCCCAAATTAAAATGGGTTTAAGGATTTAAAAAAAGAAGTTTTGGTTGTATAGCTAAAAACTTTGAGTTAAGGATGGCTTCAGGTATAGCTGGTTCCAGGTGCCCAAATGATGCTATCAGATGTCTCAGCTTTGCTTTCCTCTGTGTTGGTGTTGTTCTCAGGTAGGCTATGCCATATAGTGGCCCTTGGTACTCTTATCAGCTTAGCAACCCCAGTGAAAAGAAGTTGCCTCTTTCCCAAATTCCCAGCAAGTCTCAGGAAGCCCTCTCCTCAGCCCATCACTGAACCAGTCATGGTGGCCTGAGGTCTAGAATTTGCATAGTGTCCATTCCTGAGTCATATGGCTACCCCGCGTGGTGTCCATCCATGCCGCATGCGCTGAGAGTGGGGATAGGGGCATTTCTCCAGAGGACAGCTGCAAGGACTCAGCCCCGAGAAGTACGGAAACAGATGCAGGGCAGGCAGAGACACAGCTGTCGCCTGCAGTGCCCGGAAGGCCACACACACAGCTCTGGGCAGTGGGGACTGTGGATCCCTCCACAGGCTTCGGCAGGGGAGTAATGGGATCAGCTCTGAGTTTATGGAGGACAGTTTGGGCAAGGAGGTTGCTGATGGCAGAACATGGCTGTTGGGAGCCCTTTGCAATAATCCAGGCAAGAAAGCAAGGGCTGGACCAAATCTATGGCAGTGGGATGTAGGGGATGAGGCAGATGCCAAAAACAACCGCTAGGCGAAGCCTGCTCCCCTGGTGTACCCCTTCCAGCCTCTTGTGCCCCATGAGAACTCAGGCCTGTCTCCTCCTGGGCAGGCAGGGCTCGGTCGAAACCCAGGTCCTGAGGACGCCACCCCAGCCACAACACTCCAAGCCCTGCTCCAGATCTATTTAGCAACAAGGACAGGGACATGTCACACCTCCTTGGCCCGCCTGCCTGTCTGTTTCAATTCCTCTTGCTGGAACAGGGGGCGGCGGGGTGGGGGACAGAAATGGAGGAGTAAAGTCAGGTAGCAGTTATAATTAACCCACTGAGCTGCTTTGCAGAGTCTCTTCCCAAACTCGGGGTGCCTTTGCTGGGTTTGACTCCCGCCCTCAGAGCTGGGTGGAGTTCAAGTGCTTGTCACTCAAATAGGGAAGCCGCAGGCCGTGGGGGCTTTCCACCTGCAGCTGTGTAACCTGGGGCTCATGCATCATTTTGGTGCTCAGCTTCCCGTCTGATAAGTGAGGGGAATGAGCTTGACTCGGTTCAGTAGATCAAATAGTGTGGCTGGGATCGAGGGCCATGGGATCGGAGGAGGGCACAATGAATTCTCAGTGGGAAGCAAGGGCAGGGCAAGTGTTCAAAGGCATTGAGAGGGGTCTTATGGGATGGGTAGGATGTCTGGGGTGGAATGTGGGGTAGGCCACTCCAGCCAGGAGGAAGAACGTGAGCCAGACTGGAGAATGAGCAGGTGTGGCTGGGGTGGTGGGTTAGTCCTGGCACGAGATTGGTAAGAGGAGATGGGAGCTATGGAGGGATTCAGAGCTGGGGAGGAGTCCGTTCTCATCAATGCCTAGATTACTCCGGTTCTCCCCACTGATTCATGCCATCCTTTCTGAGCTATATCACTGTCATTTCACTGTGATCTCCAGTAAACAAAGCTCCTGGTATATTTTTATAACATAGTTATTGAGATATAATTCAATTATTGAAAGTATACAATGCAACGGGTTTTAGTATATTTACTCTCTCATACAACCAACACCACTATCTAGAACATTTCCATCACCGTAAAAAGAAACGCCGTACCCACGAGCAGCCCCTCCCCATCTCTGCCTCCCGCAGCCCCTGGCCACCACGAATCTATCTTCTGTCTCTACGGATTTGCCTGTTGCAGACATTCCAGGGAAACGGAGTCGTGGGACATGTGGCCCTGACCAGCTTCTTCGTTCAGTGTGTTTTCTCTCTCATCCAGCTCCTTATGTTTTCACATGGAAGCTTCCTGCCTTTCACAGGTAGACACAGAAACTCCTAAGAAAATGATTCGGTGGGCTCCCTGTCTAAAGGACTTCATATAAAATCAGTAAGAAAACTGACGTCAATGGTTACCTACTTGACATCTCTGCCTTACAAATTCTGATATCTTAGTGTGTGTTTGTTTAAGTGAGCGGGGAAAGCAGATGGGGCCTAATGGCTGGCGTGTGAAGCCAGGTTTTCTGGCTGAATGTGTGCATGGTGGGCCTAGAAGTTACCGGGGGTGACCAGGGCACAGTCACTCCCTGTTGGTGGGCCAGGGGCTGTTCAGAAGTATGTTCGAGGGGCTGCCGGAGCATTGTGGCCTTGATGTGCCCAGGCGGGGGGAGTGGGTCCAGGAGGCCAGGCCTAAGGACGCAGGGCCCTGGTGGAAGATGTTGCCTCCATTTTGGCCACTCTGGTCCTGCTGCTTGTCAGCGGGTTCTCTTGGGCCTCCTGGGGAGTGCCTGGGGCCTCAGGGCATCTCCCTCTGTGCCCAAAGTGCCTCCGGGGACCAGAGGACAATCCTCGATAACCCCAGGCACCTCCATGGTCCCTTGTGGAGGAAGCCTACCTAGAAGACCCACTGCCGATGGGCCTGATTTCCGTGTTGGAAAGAGCCTTTTCAGTCTCTCTCCCAGGACAGGCCCGTCCAAGGGCACTGCATTAGTGCCTGCTGGCTTCCAGGAAAGCTGCACTCCCAGGCAATGGTCCCGGAAGTCGGGACTTTCTTTGCAAACCTGTCTGGGAATCCCCCAAGCTCTAGGGCATCACGTTGCTACCCTGATTGAAGAGCCATCCTTCCTCCAGAGAAAAAGACCTCAGGCCTGAGGAAGCCCTTCGGTGTCTTGGGTGCTCACAACCCATGCGGGTACGCAGAAACCGGCTGTGTCCAGAGGGAGTGTGTGAGCCTGAGGTTTGGGTCCATGGCCTGGCTGCCAGCGCCTATGGGGCCCAGGCACGAAAGGAAAAAGGGGTAGAGGCTGAGCAGGCATGGAAAGAACACATAGAAGGCAATAGCTGCCACGTAGGACCAGCCCAGTGTTACCATGTGGACCCAGTGTGACCCAGTCTTTTCAGTATTTTTTCCAAAAGGAAGCCCAAAACCCAAACTTTAGTGTGAAATCCCCCAATATAAAACTGTTGGAAACTAATTCCAAAAAGTTCTAGAACACAGTGAAGGCCAAACAAAATGTGTGTGGGGGCTGGTCTGGGCCCAGACTTCCTGGTGAACTCCTACACATTCGTCAAGACCCCATGCACAGAAACCACATCTGCAGTAACGTCTTCCATGATCCTTCCCAGTTAGAGTTTGATGTCCTTGCTCCTCTCTTATCATCTGACCCTGTAAGCTTTCCTGTGTGTCTCTTCCTTCCACTCCCACCGAATTCATCTCATCAGCTCAATGCCCAGCAGGCACAGAGTTGATGCTCAGTGAATGTTGAATGTTTATCAAGACATCCAGTATTTATTGAGACAGCCATTTACTTATGGAATATTTATTACAGACCTTCAGGGATGCTCTGTGGTTAACCTGGGCAGGGGAAGAGAAGGGAACTGGTGTTAGTGCCTGCTGTATACCAGCTGCTTGATGCACGGTCTTGGGTAGAGGACCCCGTCCGGCTCTGTGGCTCTGTAGGAGGTGGACGCTGAAGACGAACCCTGAGGACACAGCCCCCCTGAAGGTGTGTCATCAGCAGATGCCTCGAGTACCTTCTTGGGACGTTAAATCGTCCAACATTTCCTCCCCTACTTCTTGGGTGGGAGCCCCACTCCACTGCCCATCTGTCAGGTGTCCATTTTCTACTGCAGGCACATGCCTCCCCTGCTGGGCGACTCTTCTGTCACCTGATCTGCCCTGGGGGGTGGTGTCTCCTTTCAAGAGTCCTTTCCCAGAACAGCCCATCCTGACTTCCAGGACACGGGCATCTCGGCTCTCCCTTCCTGGGTCCTTCAACGGCCTGCCTTGTGTCACCATCTGGGTCGGAGTGCCTTTCCCCCTGTGCTGCTGTGGGGGTTTGGCGGGGGGGGGGGGTGTCTCTTTTTCAATCCCATATTCCCGTTCCAGAGCTTCCCCATTGTTGTCCTGAACTTGTGTCCACTCCTTCCAGTGGATGATGGGATATCGGCG